CTCTCACTCACTCTCCTCCCCTGTAGGATGGGGAGAAAATAGAAGGAAGGCAAAAAGACCCCTGGATCAAGATAATGACAGTTTTATAAGGAAAGCAAAAGCTGCACACACAAGCAAAGCAATAAATTAATTCTCTACTCCCCATTGACAAAAGTCTCCAATGCCAGGCTAGATGGGGCTCTGAGCAACCTGGTCTACTGGAAGGCGTCCTGCTTATGGTTGGTGAGTTGTAAATAAATGGTCTTTAAGGTCTTTTCCAACCTAAACCATTCTGTGAGTCTGTGATTCTACGTGCAATGATTGCTTCGGAAGAGGAACACCATAACCTAAAACGTTTCCCCTTAAACCTCTTTTTCCTGAGCTTTTATCACTGAACACAACATCATGGTCTGAAAAATCCCATTGTTCAGTTGAGCCAGCTGTGACTTGCCTACTTGTGAGCCTGCTTTAGGGTAAGGGGAGGGAGGAGAAAGCAAGTGTTGCTGCTGTGCAGGCAGTGTTCAGCAGCAGCAGAAACACTGATGTGTTATCAACACATTTTAACCACAGAAAGCCCAGCACCACACGAGCTGCTGTGAAGGCAGCTTATATCACACCCACACCCAGCACACCACTGCTGTACACAGGCACAGTGGGATAGGGTAACCTCTGCTTCACAGTCATTAATGGAATTGGGAAAGAACAGCTGGGTATGGGTGAGTGATAATGTGCGGTACAGAGCACTCAGGGATGGTCAAGAGGATGAGTGGTAAAGTAGTCCAAGCTTTAACTTCCAGTTAGAAAACAATTTATTTGCAATGTTTTCTGCTTGGCAGGGTTTTTTGCAAAACTTGATCACAGTCTATTGTAAGTAAATAAATGACAGGAAAAAACCACACTAATTTCCATTTTACAGTGAGGTAGGGCTCTCATTTTTGTTTATCTTTTGTGCTGTGGTAGCCACAGATTGACCACAAAGTAAGTCTCAGAAGACCAACCTTTTGCTACTGTTTGCTTGTTCTGTGGCTTTCTCCTCAGATGATTTTCCCATATGCTTGTCTGTTACATCTGTGATCTGTTGATTGTTGGTTTGGGCTTTTGGAGGGGAGGACAGGGGAAGAAGGATGGGGTGTTTATCATTTAGTTTTTCTTTTTGGTGGGCATCTATTCTCATTCATACTGTAAAGGAAAACAGTCATCTTGCCTTAGATGTTTATTAGTCATTCTCAAAATTTTTGCCTTATTTTACATGTCTAAAGTGTTTTGAGGGCAAAAACCTTTAGCGAATGCATGTAAAGTCTTTATTAGTCCTCACTTGGAAAATGGGGGAGCTGAAGCAGTGAAATACATGATTTACTGAAGTTCAGACTGGTTACAAAACAGGTCAGGATTCAAGAGCCAGTGACTTTTAATTCCTCCCTTGTTGTGTTTGCCTGTGGAAATGGGCCTCTCATGCTCAGAACATTAGGCTTTCCTTTAGAGTAGGTTCCTGTCAGTATTGGAGATCATGCTGGATTTATGTTTGTGCAGGTAGCTGCATCTGAGGAAAATTTAGTTCTCTCCAAACATTACAAAAGAATTAAGTATTGGTAGTAAAGTCAGAGCTTTATTTATGACATCCATTAGAGCAGGACAGTAGAAAAAGATCATACAAAGCACTTGCACAGATTGATTCCTGGGTTATAAAACTGTTCTGTGCTCAGATAAACTACAGTCTTCTACCACATGAGCAGAAAAAGCTTAGTGGTGCCAGCTGGACTGTAGGTAACATGGAGAGCAAAACAAATCCTTTCCTTTGTTACCTGCAGGGCACTAGCAAGGAAAATTGTACCTGTAATCTCTTGACTGGTGGGCATGCACCTCTGCCCCTTCCTTACAGCAGGTGATTCTCTATTAGGCTTCTTTGAACTTGCAGGTTTGGCCCACCCCAGCTTTTCCATCTTTGCTGTGCATTCCAGCAGGATCCAGTGTTAGTGAAGGGAAGCAAAGCCCATTAGTCTGGAGATGAAGGCAGCTCTTGGGCAGTTTCACTGTGACCTCTGTGGCTGATGACAGGAATGGAAACTGTGGGAAGATCTAGCCACCAGAGAGGCTGAGGGTTGTGTTTCTGGCTTGCTCTGAGTCCCACCATCGTGGCCAGCCCACTCCTGGGAAGCTAGGATGTTTGGAGCTGAGCTTTCTCTGTAACCTAATTGTATCTGCAGGACTATAGCCAGCAAAGAGTGAGCACAGGGAGTTAGATGGAACTCAAACCATCTGAAATGAGAAGAACAACAGTATCTGGGCCTAATACTATGGGCCTTTTCTCCAGTATGCATTTGCCTTAGGAGTCATTGGAAGTTGGATCTTCTTGCCATATATAATCTCTTCTTAATACAAAGGTGTGATTCTTGTCCTTTCCTTAAGAAGGTGTTGAATTTTCCTGAAGTGGAAGATTTACTTCCTTGAAGTCTTGATACACATTTTCCTTGGTTTTTACTGAGTGTAATAGTGATCAATGGACTTCAGATGCTCATTCTTTGTCAGGGACAAGAAGAAATAAGGAGAAAAGCAGCTGATTTTTAAAAAAGAAACAGCATTTCCAGGGAACACTTCAAGTAGCATTTTATAGCACAGGGAAAGAGAATTTATCACTCTTGTCCAGTCCTTCCCTCTCCTCTTTAGCCTGAGAAGTACAGAAGGAAAGTGTGCCATTCTGAACAGACTGATGTAATGTCTATGAAAAGGAAGGAGGATTCAGGGAATTACAAATTGGTCATCTTCACCTCAGCCCCTGGGAGATGATGAAGAAAATCCTCCTGGAAAGGATTTCCAAACACATGAAGGACAAGAAGGTGATTAGGAGCAGTCAGCGTGGATTTACAAAGGGGAAATCATGCTTGACCAGCCTTACTGCCTTTTGTAGTGAGGTGACTAGCCTGGTAGGCAAGGGAAGAGTGATGGGTGTTGTTTACCTCAATCTTAGTAAGGCTATGGTCTCCCATAACATCCTCACAGACAAGCTGACAGGGTATGGATTAGAGAAGGGGGCAGTGAGATGGATTAAAAAGTGTCTGAATGGCAGAGTGTTGCAGAAGGTCATGGTACAAAGTCCTTTGAGGCCAGTAACTAATGGTGCACCCCAGGGGTCAATGCTGCAGCTGGTACTGTTTCACATCTTCATTAATGACCTGGATGATGGATCAGAGTGCACTCCTGGAAAATTTGTAGGTGATAAAAAAAACTGTGAGGAGTGGCTGATGAGCCAGAGGGTTATGCTGTCATGGAGAGGGACCCTGACAGTCTGGACAGATGGGAATCTCATCAAGTTCAGCACAGAGAAATGCCAAGTCCTGTATCCAAGGATATCTGAGGATAAGCCCCTCTGCACCAGACAGAGTGCAGGCCATCTGACTGGAAAGCGTTTCTGCAGGGAAGACCGTGGAATCTTGGGAGACTAGAAGCTGACCATGAGCCAACAATGTGCTTTGGTGGCGAAGGTGGCCAGCAGCATCTTGGGCAGCTTTAGGAAGAAGACCATATCAGGAAAGAACAAATTATGTTTCATTCTTTGGTAGAGCTGAGTTAACTTCAAATCAGAATGGAATTTAGGCTTGGGAACATTCAGTGTCATTCAAGAGCCAAAATTTTCTACAGGAATGTTGCAGAGGATGTGGTTACCTCATCTCCAGCTCAAAATAGAGAAGAGAATGCAGATTTACTCTGTAAGAGTCTTGCAGATTTTATGTCTTTTCTATCTGGTAAGGCATTGAGTGCCTCCTGGCAATTGCCTGACTGCCTTTAGCTGTGAGATAGTTCCTGATATATACCAGTGTCTCTAAACACGCTTCATGACTTCAAAAATCTGGTCCAAAGTAAAGTCAAGAAGTGGATTAATTTAAGCCAGTCAACTTCTATGAAACAGAGTAAATACAGAACTTTATTTAAATCCAAAAATCCCTCCTTGGAGTTGATTGATGTGTATGTTCTTTGTTTTGCTTCTCTGAAACCAGAAAGCACTGAAATAGTGTTGTCCTGCAATGTGTCCCTCACCCCTTTTGTAATGCAGGTCTGGAGCCTGGATATATATTGTGGAGCACATTGAAATCTTCTAATGAGACTGACCATCATTTGACCTGTACTTCTGGTCACACTGCCTTGCTGGCTGTTTGTTACATGTGTGTTGCTCTCACAGTCTGTGAAATGCTATATTGAAAGGGAAATAGCAGTGCCCTGGCTTTTTTTGTGCCCCCAGTTTTTATTTTCGAGCTGTATTAACCTCGTCCCCTGAGCACAGATGCATAAAGAGCAGTCGTAATATTTGATCACTTTAGTGCTTTGCCATTCGTTTCTCTCTCTCTCTGTGTCACAAACTGACTTCTAAGATCTATGTTGAACTGTATCCCAGACAGTTACATATTAATCATTTTATCATTCTAACCTCTGGAAACAGGAATCCCAGAGGGGGAAAAAATACAGTCATCACCCGGTATATATCATGATAAACCAATATCTGGTGAAGGAAGTTCAGTGTTTGTCACTTTTAAAGGACAAATGATATTATGTGGCTCTATATTTGTTAGCATTCTTTTTCAGCATGTGAGTTTTAAACTCTGACTGTACCTGCCAGCCATGCAGGCTGGCAATAATAGTGTGGCAGACAACTTTTATAAAGTTGTTTATAGGGTCCCCTTTGCACCTGTCCTGTGAAACAGAATTATGTGCCCCTGATCAGATGACTCTCTTTAGAAATTGCAGGTAAATCTCATGTTGCAAAATTTATGCTAAGAAAATAAACATTGAAAGAAATACCTCTTGCCATGGTTTCTTCCTACCTGTGTGCTGAGCCACATCTAAAATCAAAGAAGGAAGAATCTTTGCTAATTGGTTTTGGAGTTGTTTTAATTGTGAAGTAGTCTTGAAATCCACAGTTCTACTCCGTCTTTAGGAGCTGAGCAGATTCTTCACTGAATGGTTGGTACCTTGTATTTTCCTATTTCTGAGGAATATAACACCTCGGATGAATTTTCTGTTCTTGGACGGCTCACATTCTTCTTTATGCTTCTTCTCAGCTTTTTATACCTTTTAACTGAAAAGAAAAATACTTTTATGCTTCCATGAAATAGAAAGAACTGGATCTAGTTTAAAGTGGGTTTTTTTCCAGTGGTTTTAATTATTTGGATGATGGTTGTACTTCAAGGATCCTGCCCACCTTATCCTTTGTACACCGTAAAAAAATTTGCTAGTTAGTTGTTCATGCATGAAAAGAGCCACTAGGCAGATTTAATATTTCTGTGAATTAACGCTTCTTTCTTGATTTGTACGGTGTAATTGAAACTGGGAACTGAAGACACCTGAATAAGGGAGACCCTTTCTAGCCTTTGGTGATTAGGGAAGTACTGTCCTCATCCCACCTTTATCCAAGAGCAAGACTCAGTGCTTGCTGTGACTTCTTGTTGAGTCTTCCTATAGAATGAAATTTCATTAAATTCAGTTTTAAATTATGAAAATAATAGCTGTGTCTTGCATCACTTCAAGTGTTCTCCTACATTATAGGGCAAATGATCTCCTTCTGATTGTTCAAGTTATTCAATGGCTAAGTCAGACAACTCTTCTTAACTAACATTAAGATTCAAGAGACTGAGATGGATGGTCTGTGGCAGCCTGAGCCAGCATGGTACTCCCTACTGCCATCCTGCCTGCTCAGACCTTCCTATCTTTTCTGTGGAAGACCTAACTTCTCCCTCACACTTCCTTGCTCACCTGACCCTGCCTTGTGTGATGGCTGAGTCAGAGTAAAGCCATTTTTCAGTAATTCACTTTTCTGCTAGCTTTGTACACTAAGATGGCTCAGCACAGATGAATGGAGGAGCCAGTACATTAACAGGGAAAGAAATCAGGGTGGGAAGGAGAAGATGACAGGTGCCCTGGTCCCTCATGAAACCACTGCTTAATGTAGACCTGCTATATGTAGACACAGATTGGACAAAACTGCATCCAAATTACTTCAGAATTGAAGAACTGGGCCAGAGTTCTTTAAATGCTGAATTGTGGAGAGCACTGCTTTGTTGTCTTCTAAGTAATGTAGCATATCAGAAAGCTCTGCCATGCAGAAGGTGCAAGACTTTGTGCATTTAGGATTCCCCAGTGGTGAGGCAGTGAGACCCAAAGGTGAGGTGTCGTACAGATAGGAGCACTGAACGTGCAGGATGCTGCTCTGATGTTACACTCCCAAACCAGAGGGCAGGAACACATCTGGGGAGAGAGGGACTGAGCATTATCATGCATATTCAAAGACACCTGTGACCTCCATCCTTGAGAAGCACAAAGTATGATCTAACCCTGCATCTCCAAGTCCTATGTCACTTCCAAAGGTGAGAGGAGATGTAGGCTCACTGTAGTGCAGAATCCCATGACTGTCTTGGACTGAGCATCACTTACAATGTTAATATCAACTACTTGGACAAACACAGTAAAAATAATGGAGCTTGACTAGGTCTGGCAATAGCTTAGCCACTTGTATGGGAAAGAATCTGGAGCATTGACTTTTCTCTTTGAAGCCAGCTTTTCAAGGTGGTTCACTGTCAAGACATTGATGTGGCTGTTTGGATGGAGTTTGGTCAAGGTGACAAGTTCTTGTGAAGTTCTTTTGTGTGTATATAGCTTTTGGTTGCCCTCATGTATGCATATATTTAGCCTGTCCACTTAGAACTGAGCAGGTGAAACTTAGTTAACACTACAGCAGGGATAATCTAAGCTATATTGTTTGGGTGTTGGTTTGTTGGGTTTGGGGTTTTTTTGTCTCTTTTAATCTTAAGGAAATTATTCTGATAATGAATGCAGTTGGTTAGGAGTTTGGAAGATGAGTGTGCAGGAAAGGATGATGTAATCTTAAGGTTCTGGCTTCCTCAGATAGCTTTTGAATGTCTAGGAGAAACACTTAACATGTGAATCATTACTTCTTCTGATTGACTCTAGATGAGCTAAAAATTACAGTGGCTGAAAGCATGCATTGACAAAGTCTGTAATAAGAAAATATTTTAGTATATTTATTTTTAGTAGATTTATTTTGATCACCCAGGTTAGCCAGGCTGGTGGAAGCAGCAAGATTAGTAAACTAGACAAGTAGTTTCATATTTAAAAAAAAATGAAATAGCTTTTGTCCTTTGCAAGCGTACAGCTGACGGAAGTTGTACAGAAGCTTTATACTTTTATGTGGCAGTGTTAACATATTAAAGCTTTGGGAGTGGGGTGAATTAATCAATTCCCCAAAATGTTTGTATTATTTGCTGTGATGCTGCCTTATAATCCTCTAATACTCCTGCTCTGTAGGTGGTAGAAAAGGAAGAGTAAAACTGTTTAGCTCAGTTGCAGCCAGGTCATCTGCTTTTGCATGTGAGAAGTGTCACTAAATGAAAGTAAAGGTGCATCTGCTCATGGACAGCTCAATTTTTACAGCTTTCAATTATTTCCTTCTGAAAGACCGTGGGGTTTAGATGCTTCAGTCGCTGGTGCATCTCCAGGCATTCAGTTCTTTTTCTCCATTTGAGACCTCTTCTGTTGTACATAGAGACTTCTTCAGATTGGGTTCTTCAGGCTGAAACTGCTGCATTTCTTCTGGCAGTTGGCCCTTTCCCCACTCTTGATGGTTGCTTCACCTCATTTGTCAGCAAATTATAAAACATCGTTATCATGCTCATTACTTTGTCCTCCATTTTGTTGGGACCATCCAATTTACATTAGATATTTGTCTTATGTTTCTAAGTGCCATTTTGTTCTGCTTAAAATCATCTCCACAACCCTCTGAGCACCACTGTAAAAATCTTTAATGCACGTTTTGTCTTCCAGATCTCACTGCTGATTGGATTCATCAGTGTAAATCATTCTCCATGGACAGATTACAGTGCATACAGCTTCTTTCAGATTGTCACCATGTGCGATTTGGTTATGATTTTGTTCTTCTACGTTACCCACATCTTCAGGATCTACAGGAAGCTCAACTGTGTGAGCTGGCCACTTGCGGTAAGCCTATTACATCACCTGGTTTCCTTGCCTCTCTTGGGGGTTCACATCTCAATTTCTTAGTCCTTTTTCTTGTGCTATTTCACAATGATAGGCTGTCTTTCACTTGATTCTTTGTTACCTTGTAGGCAGATCCTTCTGTTATTAGTATTCAGTTCAGCAGATGCTCTAATTGTAAGGTTTTTTTGGCTGATTTGGATCTGATCCTGCCCTCCTTCAGACACATATAAATCCAGATTTACTCCAGGGAAGTCAATAGTGTTATTCTGAGACAGTTGCAAAGAAGCTACTGATTATCAAGCCTTCAGCAGATGAGTCCTAGCTCAGGTCATTTAAAGCAGCTAAGGGATTGCTAATGCTAAATCTAATGCTAAATCGTAGCATTAGAATTCGTGCACTACATCCTGTCCCAAAATAAAGTCTGTGAGTGCTATTTAAGTCAAATGTGTCTCTTTTTGGTACAGTTTTAGGTAACTTAAACAATAGCAAGAAATAGGAGCCTCAGCCTGATTGCCATAGCCTGGCCTTTTCTGGGATATCCGGCAGGATGTTCTGCTTCATTCCCACATTTCCTGTACACATCCATCTCTCATATCCTAGTGGAGAACTAACAAGCAGCATAGAAAATGTGAGACCTGAACTTTTTCAGTAGCTCTGGGTCAGGTCACCTAATAAAGAGTTCTGCATCCTAGTATGGAATGATGGATTCTAATAACCTCTTAGAACATACCTCCCTTACACATAGTGACATGTTAGTTCCACAGAGGAAGGAAAAAAGGAATGGGGAAAGCAAACTGGAGAGATGTAGAGGGATTTTGAAATCCAAGACTGGTTGGATGGCATTTAATGGAAATTATGTAAGTATTGTATGGATCTAAGATAACAGTCTGTCCATCCATCCACTTCTAACCAGAGAGAAAAATACAACTTTCTTTCTTTTTCTTTTTAGCTGAAGAACATGGGTAGGCTTTTTTCTTTTTAAATGTATGTCACCACTATCTGTCTCTAAAGGTACTTATTTATCTAGAAATAATACAGATGTAGGTATTAAAATAAAGGACTGAAGTAAGCTAATAAATGACAGTTTTGTAAAGCAGCATTTATTGTGTGCATTGCTGTAACAGGTCTATGCCATTTTGGCCTCTGCATAGGCTGCTTGTTTTTTTTTGTTTTGTGCTTAATCGTTCCTCTATGTTCCAGAGCCACTAGTGAGTTTAAGGCACTGAAGTTTGTGGCTGCTCAGCTTCAGATAGCTTTATGGGATGTGATGCTTGAACACTGCTGCTCTTTTACAAAACAAACAACTTCTTATCAGTCTCATATTTAAGTATCTTTAGAACAGAATAGGAAGACATATAAGAGACTTCGGGAAACTACAGGTAGCACTCAGATGAGTTTCCTGGCATGATTTCTACATTGCAGTCATGGGTGTGATTTGTAGTCAGTAAAGTTGCAGTGGTTCAAGAGGTGGTTCAGCGCTGACACCTTTTAAAGCTTGGAAGTATTTCTCCAGAGGGGCACTGTCTCAGCCCTGCCAGGTGTTGGTTCTCCACCTAATTTAGCCTTTGATGATTCCATTGAACCTCTGCCCATCCCTTGAATTCCTCTAAAGTAGTGGCCTGTACACTGCTTTATTTGCTGCCTCTAAGGAGGCAATGGTGTGTCTAATTTGCCTGCTGCTTCATGGACTAGTCAGAGAAAGGGTCCTTATGGAAATAATTTATTCTAGAAAATGCAAGGGTTGGGATCTTGATTAACTGAAACAAGGTTATGAATGAGGAAAGCAAGTTGCGGTCTCTCTACTTTATGGCAAAAATCCTTCTCAGCTCTTTATAAAACACCTGAGCAGAGGGACACTGGTATGATAGACTGTTTATCGTCTGGGCTTTCCTTGAACAATTTTGGGACTATATTCTATCTTGTGGTTTGAGATAGAATCTCTCCTCTCCCTTATACATGACGTTCCCTTGGTTCATGCGGATACAGTAAGCAGATATGCCCCTGCCCACCCCAGCCATGGACAAGAAACAACCCATGTTCATGTGCAAACACACATATTGGTTGCCATAAGCTTTGTGAGGATTCAGAATCAATCCACAGATAACCCCTGCTTGTAACAAGGTAAAATTGACTCCCAGACTGATACTCATCACACCGGAGAAGATCTTAAATGTGGTGCCTTGGTGCTGTCCCGGAAAAGCCCGTGCCATCATGTTTTACTGCAGTTGTGCTTTTCGTGGCTTCCCTCCTGTTTCGAGTCTTGGTTGACCTAAGTCATTAGTAAAGCCAGCATTAGATTCACTGCTTACTTTTTAAGATTATCAGAAGTAGGAGCATTTGGTTTTCCACTTATGGCATCTCATATAGGCTAGAGAAATGTGTCTTTAAGGCTTCTTCCTTCCTCCAGAACCATCCCTTTAGTGCAGTGCAATACTTGATGCAAT